TTCCGGGCACGTCCCACCGGGAGGAGGCCCTGAGGAAGACCCAGGACACGCTGGAGGGACTATGTCTCTCRGCTGGCCTGGGAACGCCTTGGAGTTCCCCCGGAGGAGCTGGAAGAGGTGGCTGGGGAGAGGGAGGTCTGGACCTCCCTTATGAAGTTGCTGCCCCCGTGACCCGACCCCGGATAGGCAGAAGAAAATGGATGGATGGATGGATGGATGGAGAAACAAACAGGAAGCAGATTGTAAAAGCTTTACCAACTTGTTTTTAAATTAAAAATCCAAACCTTTTTCAGAACCAAACTTAAACAGACCGAACTTCCCTTTAAAACAATTAGTCTAAATGAGTAAAGACCAGCTGCTGACTGAGTTTCTCCAAAAGAATCATTTGAATTATTGATGATTTTATTCAATAATGTAATCATTTTATTTTCTTACAGATTGAGTTGGATCAGAAGTATCAGAGCCAGTCGTGTGGACTGTGTGGAAACTTTGATGGAGATTCCAATGATCTCATCAAAGATGGTGAGTTAATCCTGAATTAATAATAAACTTTCTAATAATAAACTCTAATAATAAAGACCCCTATGATGAACACAATAAATAAATTAAGTGTTCCCTCGCCTGGACGCGGGTCACTGGGGCCCCACTCTGGAGCCAGGCCTGGAGGTGGGGCATGTTGGTGAGCGCCTGGTGGCCTGGCTTTCACCCATGGAGCCCGGTCGGACACAGCCCGAAGAAGAGACATGGGTCCCCCTTCCCATGGGTTAACCACCTGTGGGAGGGGCCATAGGGGTCAGGTACAATGTGTGTTGGGCAGTGGTCGAAGGCGAGGACCTTGGTGGTCTGATCCTCAGCTACAGAAGCTGGCTCTAGGGACGTGGAATGTCCCCTCTCTGATGGGGAAGGAGCCTGAGCTGGTGTGTGAGTTTGAGAGGTTCTGACTAGATGTAGTTGGACTCACCTCGACACACCGCTCTGGTTCTGGAACTAGTCTCTTCCAGAGGGGTTGGACACTCTTCCACTCTGGAGTTGCCCATGCTGAGAGGCACCGAGCAAGAGTGGGCATACTTATTGCTCCCCATCTTGGTGCCTGTACGTTGGGGTTCACCCCGGTGAATGAGAGGGTAGCCTCCTTCCGCCTGCGGGTGGGGGGACAGGTCCTGACTGCTGTTCATGCCTATGAGCCTAACAACAGTTCAGAAATTTTCTGATGACACAGCTATTCTCTGCCTCATTTCAGAAACATCACATTTAACCAGCTACATACAGCAGATCAAAACTTTTGTTCAGTGTTGTGAGGAACACTTTCTGACTCTTATTGTCCAAAAGACCCAGGAAATGATTTTTGACCCAAAGGCAGTTTAAGACCACTCACCAGTGGTCATCCACAATCAAGTAATTGCCCAGGTAGATTCCTATAAATATCTTGGAATACAAATAGACAACAAACTTGCGTGGACTGGTCAGGTTGAATATGTCTGCAACAGGATCCAGCAGCAATTACATTTATTGCACAGGTTGAGGGCCTTTGGTGTCAGTCAGAAAGTTATGCTGCTATTTTACCATGCTGTAATAGAGAGCATCATTAGGTATGGCATTTCCACCTGTTTTGGTAACCTGTCTGTCCATACGAATGCCAAACTCATCTGTCTTACACAAAAAGCTATGAAGTTGATGGGAGTCAAGCAGCATCCCTCACTTCAGACCATTTTCAATGAAACAATAACCAAACAGTCCCAGAAAATCATCTCAGACCCCACTCATATTCTTTATCCAGAGTACCAGTTTCTTCCTTCAGGTCGGCGTCTCAGAGTTCCTGCATGTAGACGGAACCGCTACAAGAACTCATTTGTTCCACTTTCTATTAAAGGCATAAACAGTAACAAACAGTAACCATGAATTCTGATTTTAAGCAATGATGTTTATGATTTTACATTGTACCAACATGTTTCTTTTATGTACTATCTCTCTTGAAAATGTATTATTCTAAATATGTGTTTTACGAGAGGATGTGAAGTGTCTGTGTTGTGGGCTGTTTGAGCTATGTAGCAGTCAGGTTCTGTACCCAAAACAAATTTCCTGTGGGACAATAAAGTTAATCTTATCTCATCTTATTACCCCGCCCCCTTTCTGGAGTCCTTGGACGGGGTGCTGGAGAGCGCTCCTAATGGGGACTCCCTCGTTCTGCTGGGGGACTTCAACACTCACGTGGGTAATGACAGTGAGACCTGGAGAGGCGTGGTTGGGAGGAACGGCGCCCTGATTTGAACCCGAGCGGTGTTTTATTATTGGACTTCTGTGCTCATCATGGATTGTCCATAACAAACACCATGTTCAAAAGTGACGGTGTCCATATGAGCTCTTGGCACCAGGACACCCTAGGCCGYAGTTCGATGATTGACTTTGTTGTCATCTCATCTGATCTGTGGCTGCATGTCTTGGACACTTGGGTGAAGAGAGGGGCAGAGCTATCAACTGACCACTACCTGGTGGTGAGTTGGCTCCGTTGGTGGGGGAGGATGCYGGTCAGACCTGGCAGACCCCAAACGTATAGTGAGGGTCTGCTGGGAACATTTGTCAGAGTCTCCCATCAGATTGAGCTTCGGCACACACCTCCAGGAGAACTTTGAACACGTTTCAGGGGAGAAGGGGGACATTGAGTCTGAGTGGGCCATGTTCTGTACCTCCATTGTTRAGGCGGCTTACCTGAGCTGTGGCCATAAGGTTGTTGGTGCCTGTCATGGTGGCAACCCTCGAACCCGCTGGTGGACACTGGCGGTGAGGGATGCTGTCAGGTTGAAGAAGGAGTCCTATCAGATTTTTTTGGCCTTTGGGACTCCGGAAGCAGCCAATAGGTATCGACAGTCCAAGCGGATTGTGGCTCGGGTGGTCTCTGAGGCAAAAACTCGGGTGTGGGAGGAGTTCAGAGAGGCCATGGAAAAAGACTTCCTTTACGGCTTAGAGGCGATTCTGGTCGGCCATCCGGCATCTCAGAGAGGGAAAGTGGTTCACCACCAACACTATTTATGGTGGGGATGGTGCGCTGCTGACATCAACTCTAGACATTGTGGGTCGGTGGGCGGAATACTTTGAAGACCTCCTCAATCCTACCGACACGTGTTCCCATGAGGAAGCAGAGCCTGAGTACCCTAGGTTGGACTCTCCAATCTCTGCTGCCGAGGTCACCGAGGTGGTTAAAAAGCTCCTTGGTGGCAGGGTGCCAGGGGAGGATGCGATTCGCCTGGAGTTCCTTAAGGCTCTGGATGTTGTGGGGTTGTATTGGTTGATGCGACTACAATATTGCGTGGACATTGGGGGCAGTTGCCCTGGATTGGCAGACCGGGGTGGTGGTCCCCCTATTTAAAAAGGGGGGCCGCAGAGTGTGTTCCAACTATAGGGGGATCACACTTCTGAGCCTCCCTGGTAAGGTCTAKTCAGGGGTCCTGGAGAGGAGGGTCCGTCGGATAGTCGAAACTTGGATTCAGGAGAAGCAGTGTGGTTTTCGTCCTGGTCATGGAACAGTGGACCAGTTCTACACCTTCAGCAGGATCCTGGAGTGTGCATGGGAGTTCGCCCAGTCTACATGTGTTTTATGGACTTGGAAAAGGCGTTCGACCGTGTCCCTCTGGCACTCCTGTAGGGGGTAGTCCTGGAGAATGGGGTACGAGGCCCAATGATACGGGCTATTAGGTCCCTGTCGGACCGGTGCCAGAGCTTGGTCCACATTGCTGGTAGTAAGTCAGACTCGTTTCGTGTGAGAGTTGGACTCCACCAAGGTTGTCCTTTGTCACAGATTCTGTTCATAACTTTTATAGACAGAATTTCTAGCAGCAGCCTAGGTGTTGAGGGGATCCTTTTTGGTGACCTTAGGATCACATCTCTGCTTTTTGTGGATGATGTGGTYCTATTGGCTTCATCAGATCCTGATCTCCAGCTCTCACTGGAGTGGTTCACAGCCGAGTGTGAAGCAGCCGGGATGAGGATCAGTGCCTCCAAATCCCAGACCATGGTCTTGAGCCGGAAAAGGTGTAGGGTGCCTTCTCGGGGTCGGGGAGGAGGTTCTGCCCCAAGTGGAGGAGCTTAAGTATCTCAGGGTCTTGTTCACGAATGAGGGAAGAATGGAGCTGAAGTTCGACAGGTGGATTGGTGCTGCGTCTGCAGTGATGCGGGCGCTGTACCAGTCTGCCGTGGTGAAACAGGAGCTGAGCCAGAAGGCAAAGCTCTCAGTTTACCAGTCGGTCTACGTTCCTACCCTCATCTATGGTCACGAGCTTTTGGTAGTGACCGAAAGAACAAGATCGCAGATACAAGCAGCTGAAATTAGTTTCTTCTGCAGGGTTTCTGGTCTCTCTCTTAGAGATAGGCTGAGAAGCTCAGTCATCCAGGAGGGACTCAGAGTAGAGCCGCTGCTCCTCCATGTCCATAAGAGCCAGTTGAGGTGGTTAATCTGGTTAGGATGCCTCCTGGACTCCTCCCTGGTGAGGTGTTCTGGACAAGTCCCACTGGGAGGAGACCCAAAGGAAGACCCAGGACATGCTGGAGGGACTATGTTTCTCAGCTGGTCTGGGAACACCTTGGGATTCCCCCAGACGAGCTGGTCCAAGTGGCTAGAGAGAGGGAAGCCTGGGTCTCTCTGCTTAGGCTGCTGCCCCCACGTCCCGATTCCAGAYAAGCGGCAGAAAACGGACGGACGGACAGATAATAAAGTATTTTTAAGCTCTTGGACAGAAATCAAGTTAAATTAAATAAAAGCAAGAATTTACTGTGATTAAATTATTTTAAAATTATAAAAGCTCTATTTGTTCAGGGAAATGGCAAATTAAAAAATTATTTTCCTGATCTGAGATTTTATTAAATAAAACTAATGAAGTGCAAAATTTTTCACCTCCTTTGGTTTTCTTAAAAACTGAACTTTAATTTTTGTTTAACCAGAAAAATGTTAAAAAACTTTAGATGATTAAAGTTGAACAGCAGAAAACCTGATCAAAGATGGACCCACAGACCCTGGTACACCTGAGACTTTGACACTGGTCCTCCTGCAGGGGTTCCTCTGTCTGTGGTGGACTATGCTGAAACCTTCAAGGTGATCGGACCCACAGAGACCTGCGGAGAACCAGAAGTGAACCCAACACCAAGCTGTGCGAATCAGGTACCTCCTTACACCTCCAGAACCTGTAGACCTGATCTGATGTAGACCTGATCTGACGTAGACCTGACGTAGACCTACTGTAGACCTGATGTAGACCTACTGTAGACCTGCTCAGTGTCTTTCTGAACCCCTGGTGTTTTTCTTCAGTCTCTCTGTGAGCAGATCTTCTCCAGTGATGCCTTCAGCGGCTGTCAGAACCTTGTGGATTTTGGATCCTTCACCAAAGCCTGCAAGGTGGACATGTGCAGTTCTAATGACACGTCAGACCTGGTCCTGTGTCCAACCATCTCAGAGTTCTCCAGACAGTGTGTCCACGCAGGAGGAAGCCCGGGAGCATGGAGGAACGAAACCTTCTGCTGTAAGAAGCTCAGCCTGGACTCTGAGCATGCTCTTCTGGTTCTTTCCTTCTTTTCTTTATTAAACAAGATTTTCCACAGATGAGGCATGTCCCTTCAACATGGAGTTCCTGGAGTGCAGCAGTCCATGTCCCGACACCTGCTCCAACCCACACGCCAGTCAGACGTGTCATGACCACTGCCATGATGGCTGCAGCTGCCCAGCAGGTAACCTCACCTGTTGGACCTGCTGTTGAGAGGACCTCCTGCTCCTGTCTCCGTCACAAGCCTCCATGTCTCCCTCCTGTCCTTTTTAGGAACCGTGTTTGATGACATCGGGGACAGCGGATGTGTCGCTGTCAATGATTGTCCATGTCGCCATGGAAACAAAACCTACAAATCAGGAGAATCGTACTCGTTCTACTGCAAATCCTGGTGAGATCAGAATTCCAGATGCTCTGTAAAAAGCTTTACAATGTTTTTCCATCAACACCTCACATTGAAATACGGTGGTGGTAACACCATGGTCTGGGCTGTCATCCATTCATCCAGCCATCCGTCCATCCATCCTCTTCCTCTTATCCGGGGTTAGGTCTCGGGGGGAGCAGTCTAAGCAGAGAGACCCAGCCACTCTCTCCAGCCACTTGGACCAGCTCCTCTGGGGGAATCCCAAGGTGTTCCTTGGCCAGCTGAGAAACATCGTACCTCCAGCGTGTCCTGGGTCTTCCTCTGGGCCTCCTCCCAGTGGGATGTGTCCAGAACACCTCACCAGGGAGGAGTCCAGGAGGCATCCTAACCAGATGAACCACCTCAACTTGCTCCTCTGGACGTGGAGGAGCAGCGGCTATACTCTGAGTCCCCCCTGGATGACTGAGCTTCTCAGCCTATCTCTAAGGRAGAGCCCAGACACCCTGCAGAGGAAACTCATTTCAGCTGCTTGTATCTGTGATCTCCTTCTTTCAGTCACTACCCAAAGTTTGTGACCATAGATGAGGGTAGGAACGTACTGTAGACTGACTGGTAAACTGAGAGCTTCACCTTCTGGCTCAGCTCTCTCTTCACCACGACAGACCGGTACATCACCCACATCACTGCAGACGCAGCACCAATCCACCTATCGATCTCCCTCTCCATTCTTCCCTCATTTGTGAACAAGACCCCAAGATACTTAAGCTCCTCCACTTGGGGCACGACCTCCTCCCCGACCCGGAGAGGGCACCCTGCACCTTTTCCGGCTCAAGACCATGGTCTGGGATTTGGAGGCACTGATCCTCATCCTGGCCGCTTCACACTCAGCTGTGAACTGCTTCAGTGAGAGCTGGAGATCAGGATCTGATGAAGCCAATAGGACCACATCATCCACAAAAAGCAGAGATGTGATCCTAAGGTCACCAAAAAGGATCTCCTTGACACCTTGGCTGCTCCTAGAAATTCTGTCCAGAAAGGTTATGAACAGAATCGGTGACAAAGGACAATCTTGGTGGAGTCCAACTCTTACCAGGAACGAGTCCAACTTACTACCAGCAATGTGGACCAAGTTCTGGCACCGGTCCTACAGGGACCTAACAGCCCGTATTAATGGGCCTGGTACCCCAAACTCCTGGAGTACCCCCCACAGGAGTCCCTAAGGGACATGGTCGAATGCCTTCTCCAAGTCCACAAAACACATGTAGACCGGTTGAACTCCCATGAACCCTCCAGGACCCAGTTGAGGGTGTAGAGCTGATCCAGTGTTCCACGACCAGGACCAAAACCACACTGCTCTTCTTGAATCTGAGATTCGACGATCTGATGGACCCTATTCTCCAGAACCCCTGAATAGACCTTACCAGGGAGGCTGGTGGGGTCCACCAGCAGGTTTGAGGGTTGCCGCCACAACAGGCACAGACAACCTTACAACCACAGCTCAGGTAAGCTGCCTCGACAATGGAGGCACTGAACATGGCCCACTCTGACTCAATGTCCCCCACCTCCCCCACAACGTGTTCAAAGTTCTCCTGGAGGTGTGAGTTGAAGCTCAGTCTTATGTGAGATTCTGACAGACATTCCCAGCAGACCCTCACTATATGTTTGGGTCTGCTAGGTCTGACCGGCATCCTCCCCCCACCAACGGAGCCAACTCACGACCAGGTAGTGGTCAGTTGATAGCTCAAACTTTGACAGCTGAAAACTGACAAATGACATCAACAGCAGAGGATCAAACAGCATGAAAACAATAATCTGTCTGGATTGATGGTTTATCTCTAACATGTTTGTTTGTTTGTTTGTTTGTTTTGACCACAGCATGTGCGAGAACGGTTACTGGTCATGTAAGGAAATGAACTGCCCAGAAATATGTTCTGTAGGGGGAGGATCTCACATCAACACCTTCGATGGGAAAATGTTCACTTTCCATGGAGATTGTTCCTACGTTCTGTCCAAGGTGAAACACCAACACTCAGCTTTTATCTTCCTGTGAGCATTGACTGATGTGTTCACGTGTTCCACATCCTGTTAGTGTTTCTGCTAACATGTAGCTTCTGTATGTTTCTGCAGAGTAACGACTCTTCACACATTGTCTTAGTGGATCTGCTCAAATGTAGTCTGACTGACAGCAGGACGTGTCTCAGTGCCGTCACTTTGGCCTTGAATAGCCAATCTGTGGTAGGCCTAAACAAACAAACACACACACACACACACACACACACACACACACACACACACACACACACACACAC